TGCTCGTGATATCTTCGAATAAGTTTAGCTTACATTATGAAAAAATGAATGAAGATTTTATATTGGAAAACTTTTCGTAGAACTGTGCTTACATAATTTCAATTTTCGTTCACAACTCCGGAGGGCAGGGATGTATGGATTTCGTCGTTTGTTTGCAACATCTAAAACGAAACTAGTGAGACCGTACAAAATAAATGTGTTCCTAATCAGTGTTAATGTCTGAATCCTTCTAAGCATATTGATCTGTCCGTCTGTACGTCTGTGTCAATCATTCTCGTGATCCTTATAACTAAGATAACGGCTTAGAATATGGCAGATATATTAACTATTCTTCCGCAGAGTTTGTTGTCGAAAATGACCCAAAACTCTTTAAGGGCACGCCCGCTGCGCAGCGTGAATGTAAAGCATATCTATTTTTAAGGAAAAAAAAGATTAGATTTTTTTACTCATTACTCATAAATTGCGATAGGTACACCAAGAAATATTTCCAGGCATATTCTATGGACGATGTTATCGTATAGCAGTACTAGTGTAGAACAATGGAAGAAAAGTACGAGGTCCATCCATTATTCTGCAGTAATGTAAGGAAGGAAACTTCAAATAGTTTGCAAAGTATATATAATTTTGATCAGTATCAAACTCGAGATCAATTTGAGTACGTCCTGCTGTCCATCCGTCTTTTTGAGACACTATGTAGTCTCTGTAGTAAACAATATCGTAAAAGAAATAAAAGTAATTGCTGTTGCAAATGAGCCAAATTGATCAGCGTTAACCGGGCATGCTCTTATTTGCTGGCTTTTTTCCTCACTGGTCATAGACTACAACAACTACACAATAAATAGTTCTGCGTGTTTTCTATAAAAATGAAAGACATCAGTCACGCCCATTCAGACGTATACATTATTGAAAATTTTTGTTTTTTTTTCGTTTTTTTTAAGATAGCGTTTGTTTAACAGTGACAGCCAACTTGCACGGAAATTGATGTACTTAAGCAAGTTCTTACGCACCCCGGTTTTATATATAAATACTTTTGCATCACATAATACTTCTACCACGCTATCAAACGTTGCTTAGATGTCAAGCAATACTTTAATGATAACATGAGTTAAATCGAATCGAAGGAGATAGTATCGGTCTATGCCTTCTCTGTTTGTTCTCTGCCCAATTAAAATGGATGAGTAAACTCTATAACAAACATTCCGAATTACAACGAATGACTTTTCAGGATTCCTCAAGGGTGTTATTTAATAAGGAAAATTTATGCCATTTAAGCAGCATTTAAAACCCATTGAATATTTTTAAAATCGCCCCAAACACTCAAACACATTCCAAAGAAAACCTGACACAAATGCAATCTTACTACACAAAAAGCCACAAAGTATTTGGGATACAGTGCCAAATGAAAGAGAAATATTTTAAATTTAAACACTTCCTTCGCAAAAATTTTCAAAAAAAAAAACATTAAATCAATCACAAGGTTAATGCATTCTGTCATTAGAAAGCAACTACAGATTAAAAATAAAGTATATTTTCTGTGTTTCTCCCTTCGCTTTGCAATCTGTGAAACGAATTTATATAAAAGAATCTTTTTCATTTTCTTTCTATCCTTTATCCGGAGACTAAATGCAATGATATGATGAAGGAAAATTTAAATAGAACTCTTGCACAAAAAAAGAACGAAAACGAAACGAAAAAAAGTTGTGTTATTTTCCTTATATGTTTGTGTGTGCGTATATTTCTGTTTAACCAACCATTTAAGTCATGTTTTCTCTTCTTCTCGCGATCGCCTGTTTTCTTTTTTGTTCATTTAAATCTTTTTCTTTTTTTCTTTTTTCTGCTAATCAAATCAATACCTTCGCATTGGTTGCCTTCGGCAGATTGTGTGCTTACAAGTACGCGTCGAATGTCATGTTTTTTAACGTGCTGCAACGTTCAACTGCATGCTTGGCAATTTTCAATATCATGATAAAATTAACGAGGCGTAGAATTGTAACAGCGAAGCGGGCTGTCAGTGTCTGCAATAGGATAAGTACGCTTAATTATTTATTAATTATGAATCAATTGCTTGCATCCTTATTAAGCGAATTTAGTTATTCCCTCTTAATGGGAAATTTTACTTATTTTCTCTGTTAAGGCGATAGATATATTAAATCAAAATTTTTAGAATTATTATTACAATAATTTAAGGCGTTTGTTATTTTTATCAGCTTAATTTATCTGACATCAAGGACTTTATTTAAGCTTGTCTGTCCATCCGTTTCTTTTTCTACGGTTAACTGTTGTTTAAAGCGTCAAATATAGAGACCGTCTCTCCTCTCTCGTTCATATTTTCTTAAAATTCTTCGTTCTCGATTATCTAACATTCAGGTTGCTTATCTATACAGCCATTGAAACTCGATCTCGAAATAATTTTTTGATTCTTATATTCAAAGTAAATTTACGGTCGACTAAATTTTTATAACAATTTTCAAAGCTCTCGTTCATTTCAAAAATTCAGAACTCACGATGGACGGACATGATACAATGTGAATACCTCATTATGTCCTTTGCGCCCACTTTTTAGCTCTTCAAGACAAAATTAACCAATGATCTAAATCAATCGTCAAAGACAATTGTTTTAAGTTTTTAAAAAAAAATTCATCGACTAAATAACTTTACTTGTTACAGCGAAACAGTAGAAGAAATATTTGCTGTAATTAAATGCAAAAGATTTTTATTTATTTATTTTTTTTCTCAATAAGTTTCACTCATCTCACATCGTATAAGTGATTGTTATTTTTTTCACTGAAAAATTTTATAAATTTCTCAAGTCCGACAGGCGTATGAGTAACAATTAATTATAAAGCTTTTATAACATGTCAATTCAAAAATCTTGCGCATATGTGTAAACATTACAAACACATGTACACGTAAAAATGCATTGCTACTGTACAAATATGCAGAACGTAATGTTCATGTAAATGTACATGAGGACTTTTTTGTATTACTACTGTTAAAGAAGAGAAAAAAAGACTATCGAGACATATTTTCACCAAGCGTTTAATGCGAGGCATAGTTGTCAGAGTATTGAAGTTCGTAAATTAATATCCTGCTGAGTTGCGCCGCTGAAGGGCTTTTATTGATTACATTTCGCATTCCATGCATATCTACGGAATGTAGTGAAAGATTGCAATTAAAAATGAAATGCGAACACTTACAGTTATCTTCTGCACACATTTTACATAATACTAGCCGTTGTTTGTAATAAAAGTACGTAGCCGCACTGCGATTGTTAAAAATTGTATTCCTTATAATAAATGTCATCAAATTTTAAACATTTACAAGAGTCTTTTATGAGCGTAAATAACGCCTTGTCTGACCCTCGTAGCACAAAGGTGTATTAAGTTTGTGCGGATGCACGCAACACGCAGGCGTACATTAGATAGACCCACTTTTTAATATGCCAATGGATTCAGAATGTCTTTCCGCGTCGATCTAAACCTGTCCGTCCGTCTGTCCATCCACTCATCTTGATTTCTTCCGCTCCACCTACAAGTCACAACCTTTCCAACATCACCATATTTTGGCCCAAGGATGGACCACTTTTTTGTTCACCTCCGATGCAATAGCTTATTTTGAAAAGTCTTCAAATTAATAGCTGTATTAAGCGAAGTGATGTAAGTTATTTAAAGGTGCGCCTTGTCCCATCACAATATTTTTACTTGTTATTTATTTGTTTAGTTGAAGAGTACGGGTGAATGAATGGAAGTCACGATTACTTAAAAGTTATGCGTGCAGCTTTTCTTACGCGTGACAGAGGAAATATTTAAGAATACGAAATTTTTACACAATTTCCCCTACGCAACTTAGCCCTAACTGGGTTATTATTCTCATATTACAGAATATGTAAAAGCTGTACAAATTTTGATAAAGGTATGCACGAATAAAGAAAAAAAGAAACTGAAAACAGCAAGCTGTAGGAGACCATCTGCCACTGTCAGTGTAAAACAAAATTTATGTATACAATGACAGGTAATTCTATAATACACAAGTTGGCGGAAAGAGTTTGCTAAACAAACTTAAAAACAGCAAAGTATAGAATTTCTTATTCTGTTCAACGAACCGTTATAATTTAGATGTAGTAAACATCAAAAGTAAGTCTCGGTAGTTGACGAAATTAATTAGAAAACGAAAACATTCCCTCTTGTTCACCTAGTGATTAAAAAGCACAAATCCTTAAGAAAGCGAAAAAAGAAAATTTAATCACTTGTATCTTTGTGTGGGCATGGCCGATTTTTTCCTTAAAGTAAATGTAGAAAATTTTACGCCGATCGACAATACATATACTTTATATGATCCATGAACCTTCCTTTTGGACGGATCACACAGTTTGTCAGTCATGAAAGCTATGCGAAGCCGTTTAAATTCGTCGTATTAATCTCTTAGGCATTGGTTGCACTAGTGTACCTGTAACTATGGATACCCCACGAGAAATGTGTGCTCTTCGAATGCATGTTAGGACGAAACGACAGAGAGAATTCCGAGAAATAAAAAATACACTTCGTATTCTAATCGTAATCTCGTTCCACCGTCATATCCAATCACAGTCGGAAAAATTAAGACTAAACTGTTTGCAAAAGTCTCCCTCGAGAAGGCACACACAATATATCCTTAAGAAATCTAAGAAAGAAAGGTGGGTCTGTTTTCGCCTTGCTTGGTTGGTCGGAGACACAATATGAAAAGAAAAAATTACTTTTTGGTACCGGGCCAGAACCTCGACGCAATTATGCCATTTATTAGCATCATTAACATCATTAATGTAAAGGCATGGAACAGCGTGAAGTTATGCAAGCCGCCTCCGTTACCGAGCCACATAATCGAAGGAAGGTGAGATACGCCTTCGTAGAAGCTACTTATCTTTCCTTTCTTGCTTCCTTATTTCATCATCCACTTCTAATAAAAGATAATTATTTGGACGCAGTGGAATGTCACATTTTTATTTGTTTTCTATTACGATTATATTATTATAAAGTGTAAACGCTATGGTATGAAAGACTGCTGTTCCTGGATACATTACTTCTTCTTGGCATTATTGAATATACCTAAATATTTGCCACGCGTCATTTCCTTTGCCTCACTGATACCCAATTGATACGCTTCGTCGTAGATGTTTTTGATTTCCATAATTAAAGCATTCGGAGACAAGGTACTTAATTCTAGTTGTATGAAATCAAAGTTAAAGAATTAATAAAAAGCGAATCTCAAATAAAAGGCTTACGTGTTATGGCAGCCATATCTTCTTGGGAAAGGCCGCGGGACCATTCGGCTGCTGGAGTGCGTATGGGTGTATTACTCATAGCTATAAAATCAGTGATGCCTGGAACTGAATTTAAGAGGCATTTTAATAATTTGGAATAATCTTTGCTTCTTGCTTTAGCACACATAATCTGAATCAGAAAATTTAACAACTAAACATAGTCGTAGTGGATCGGCAATTTTATTTTCTTTTATTAAAGCATTACATATATCTGTATACCGCCAACGCGCGTAATCTACATTATTTTTAGATTTTTAACCGACTTTGAATTTGCAAAAAGATTTACTTACTTTTTTCTGGCCACAAATCAGGTGAAGCCCTATCTAATTTTTCTAGGGATAATAAGCCCCCTTCGTCTTGCAACTCTTCCTTAATCAATGAACCTGGAAATATAAAATTCATGTATATATTTAAGTACACATTGAATATTTTAGAAAATTTTAAATTTTCCAACCTTTGCTTGCTGACATTTTGATGTAAAAAGCTAACTGTCAGCTGATAAATGACACCAAAACGTAGTGTTGGTAAACATTCCTACGTGAAATAGAAAAATTTGTTATATGTGAATGGATATGGAATGGAATCTGATGCAGTTTATTGCAACACTGTACTGTTAAATTATGTAACCAGTTGAAACGTTCATTCAAATTTTCGAATGCAAAGTAAATATTTTTTGTCAAAACAAAACTTATTACACATCTCAGTGGTTATCAAACTGTCTAGACATGGCGAGCCGAATTATTTAATTAAGTGATTTCTTGTCATCAGCGTACGACGATGAGTCATTTGCACCAGAAACATTTGACTATGGCAATACGAGCGACAGTTGATCGATGCAATAAGAGGATATAACATAATCAACAGAGCAGTTGAACGAACAAGTGAGAGATCAAAATATTTCATTGTAGATTACATTAGAATAATAAGGGTAAGGGTGAAACATAATCGCAACGACGCTCGAGTTAGAGTCTGATTTAGACAAAGTCGGAATGGAAACTCTATTTGGGCTCTTTAATTCTCAGCGAACCGAGATTTTTGCGACCGCAAACAAATAATGCGCTACAGGATCTTGCCATATGTTAGCGCAAGTAACCACGCCCTGCAGAGGTAGGAAAAGCCAACAGCTGTTTAAATATTTTAAGTAAAATGTGTTTGTGCAAGTTGTTAATAAACGCTTAACTTTATTGAAAATGACTTCAAACAAAAAATATGTCCAAGAAATAAATCTATAAGAGTAGAAAAAAAGAAGAAAAAAATATTTCTTAAAACAAAATTTTGTCTTCCATGATTCATTGGGAATTCAGACGAAAAAATCACAGAAAAAAAAATTGATTGATATTTATATTAAAACATTCACACGAGGTATGTATGTAATTGTTGTGAAATCTCTCCTCCACCTTTGCATCGATATAACTTTCTTCTTTATTTAGCACTCTAATTTGGAGACTTAACTTTTAGCTTTAAGGTTCTGGGAGCTAATTCAAAAAAAAATGATTGCCTTTTTCTAAATGAAATAATTACAGTTTATTACTCTATGTCAATAAAATGAATCTGTTATATAATTATCATATTCAGTTTTTTTTTTCTTCTTCTTCTTCTTAGAAGGAAAATCATGCTTGGGTTTTAAATAATATTATACGAGATTTATCAGTGGCTTTATAGAATATCGAGAATTCTTAATTAAATATGTATTCATACTTTCGAACTTAAAATTAACTGCAATGATTAATAAAAATGATTACGAAACTTTGTACATAACTTTTTGGTTCAGCTTATATTTTCAATAAAAAGAAAATGTTATAAATACAAAACAAAAATATTAATGTATATACATAGATATATACTACTCATTATCGTTATATATATCATTATTATATAGATATTACTCACAATTTTTGTCTTTTTTATAGCTTTATATCAAAAATTTCGTTGGGTCACTTGTTCTCAAATGGATTTTTCTTTTAAACTTAAAAAAAGAACAGAAGAAAATACCACATGCAAAGCATTTATTGAGAAAATATCATAAATGTCTACGAAATTCATCACATGGTTGTAGAAGCAGCGAAAGAGGAATTTTAATAACACCAATGCACAGGCACCTCTTCACCCCAAGCTATGTGCTCTATGCTCCAGGACGGCGTTTCAAGACGTCCTTCGGCATTCGATTTAATCTCGTCACTCTCTACCGGTATACCAGCCGGCACCGATGGCAAATGTATTACCCCTCCATTATCGTGTAAGTGACGACTGCTTATAGCTGCCATCATGTAACTGTAGGCAGTATTGCTTGTCGTATATTTTGTAATAGAATCAGAGGAGTCGAATTGACGCAGCGCTCGACATTTGCCCTCGTTAACTAACCGCATCAAACCGAAAGCAGTATTTTTAAACACCTGCTCTAGACCCTGGTCCATTTCGGCTGAAATTTCAAAATAACTGGCACCTATTGACGTTGCAAATAAATAGGCTTCCTCGCGTGAAACTGCCCTCTCTGACACCAAATCTAATTTATTACCCACTAACGTGAGAATCATCGGTCCTTGGACGTTGGAATGCAACTCTTGTATCCAACCCTTGATTTCCTTAAACGTACGATGCTGCGATAGATCGAAAACTAAAATGGCTGCGTTAGCGTTCCGATAATACATCGGTGTAACAGCCTTGAAGCGTTCTTGACCGGCTGTATCCCATATCTGTGATAGTGGTTAAGAAAAATATTCATATAATTTTCTATTAGAAAACGAGAAAAGAAAAAAATTAAGCAAAATAAAGGAAATCTTCAAAAAAATTAACGAAAATAAAGGAAAGGGAAAATCTTTTCCATATAAGTTTGCTTTCTTGTTTGTCTAACTTTCTGGATAATGCGACTCTAAAATTCGCTGGTCACTCTAGTAAGTCTTTCTGTACAACTGCTAATTGAGCCTAGAAAAGCCTGCTTTGAATTGCTTTCTAAAATGCACGTACCTGCTGATCGCTACCCTGGCTGCATGTAAAGGGTGATTGAGTGATCCTCTAAAAACTTAACTTTTGCTTATTACAATATTCTCATTTTGAGTTGTCACGTAACTTTGGCAGAAGCTATGGAGGTCAAGATGGGGAGACTTGAGATAGACTCACCTTTTATTGTACTTAGTTTTTTTAGTTAAGTAGTGCCAATCTACAGGTCGCAATTTTCTTTGACCCAAACAGAAACAAATATTGAAAATGGTCCTGATCTGTCCACTTTTTCGATCACGTCCAATGTAACTCACTGCTTTGAATAGTCGTTATTTGAAGAACTATTAAGAGAATTATGTACGATATTTAATGGCGGGCCGACACCACTACAGTGTTTTTACTGTTTTCAATTTAAAATCATTTTGCAATTATTCATGTATTAAAATCATGCAGATCGGATATTTTTGCAATAAATCCGTATGCTGTAGTTGTATTTGTGAATATAATACTTTTCCTCTTGATCTTTATTTGTATGGGAATTTCGTGATATATTTTTAGTCCTTCGTAATATAATAATCTTTTCGACGAACTGGTTGTTTTAACATTAAGTCAGACTTTTCGCAAATTAGAAGACATCAGATCGTACCACACCTGCTTCTGCTATATATATTTATATAACCATATATATGTATATAACTAATTTTTGAATAACAGAGAGCCATTGTGTGCACTGCATAAGCCTATGACAGCTGAAAACGAACCTAAAATAGATAATTTTTCCAAAAAATGGGAAATTTCTTTATTACAAATAAGTTGCACGACTACGACTTAATCGTGAACCAATGCTTGCAATTTATGCAAAATTTTTAGTAAAATTTGGTCTCGGGTAAAGTTACTTAACGTTAACGTCGTTTCGGGCTTGCGATAACCCTTTTTGAGAAAATTAAAGTCGGAATATGCAGCAAGACGTGGTACATAAGGCGAGTAACCTAACCCCTAATTCAAAGCTAACCACTTCTTACTTCAGAAACATTAAAACCAAACTTCGGATTCACACTTGTTCTAATGCGCAGATCTAGGCTTTATATTAAATTTTCATCTGTCGAAGGATATGAAGGAGTAAAATTACAAATAAATAAATTTTGAATAAGCAAATCATTCGTTAGCTTTTGTTAACGTGAACCAAGTTTATAAGCACTTACTTGTAATATAACTTTATGATCGTCTAACATAACTTTACAAGTAAAAAATGAAGGAGCTACAGTTGGTCCAAATTCATTCTGAAGTGTACTTTTAATGTACTTTGTAACAAGGCGCGTTTTTCCAACACCTGAAAAACACAGAATATTACTCGCTATGCAAAATTAATAGGTTTTGTGAAATGCAATGCAGCTATGAGTAATTTTTTTACTACCTGTAGGTCAAAAGCCCTTCGTTGATGCTAATAGTGTTCTTAAGATTTCACAACAACTGCCATCCCTGTACTTCCCGGAGTTGTAAATAAATCACATAACTTGCGTGTCAATATTGTTTTTTCTTTCAATCATTTAAGCTTATTCTTCATATTCTTCGCAAAATGCTGACGTATAACTGCTAAATAGCATGGAATGAATCACGTTTGCTATGATCGTCTTACTTTTCTACCTGTCTGCTTCTAAGTCGCAAGTATTGAGATAGAAAAGTATCAGCGAAAGTGCATTAAGTAAACTGCACAGTTCCTACAAATTGAGATTAAAACTGCGTATGGTCAACGTTCAACGTATTCGTACGATTGCTCAAACTGTATGGAAAACTCTAATAGTATAGCTTTTAATATAAATTACAAAACTTCAACCAAATGCTGGTTACCATATTTGAACATTTTAACATCGGAATACTTATCAAACATTATATTAGTTAAGTTCGCCTTAAGCCTTTCCCACTTATGTAATTCTCATAGACTAGAAATTAATTGCTCATAAATCTCAAATTCTTTTGTATCTTTCCGCAAGCATATTTGCAAGCAACATTAAATGAGAAAGTTATAAACCATTTGCTAAGTATGAGTCTCTTGATCAGCGTAAGATCATCAACTAACTTAAATAAATTGCATCTGCTGTTTTGCGTATCCTTTTTTGGATATCCCAACAATTTAGATGAGACTACGAAATATATTTTCGGGTAAATGAGTCGTTCTTCTACGTTGGCTTTCTTGTAATATACTTAATGAACTGATCGTTGATGCACTGCCTTTAGAATCGTTTGTTTACTGTCTAATCAGGTTGCTATGGATCTGAGCTCCTAATTTATTGATTTTGAAAAATCATTTGCAAATATTTGTAAATATATTTTAAGTAATTAATTGCCTTGTTCGTAAGTTTTGTTTTTTTCTTAATACTTACCCCTTGATCCTAATATCACTACTTTCCCCTCAATGCATTTCATATTGATCGTCGAGTCAATTTAATTTAATTAATTTATTAACAATAATATTTATTCATCTTCACTTTAGCCTTTATTGTTGCAAAGTCCATACACCACCGTTGAAAATATCGCTTAATAATCAAAATGTTTGCGCATTTTTAAGTACCATTTTATAAAGTCACAAATCAATATCATTGGTTTATTGTTTATTCTCCTTGACATAATTTTTACTTATCTAATGCAAAATCATTTGTTTTTAAAAACCCTAATTGCAATGTTTTGATTTTTTACGTAAAGAAAAGTTATTAGACGTTAATCAGCAATCAGCTGTTACAATTGGTTGCTTTTAATTTTACACAGGGTGCTTCGATTAAAGATTTTATCGAGAACTGATTTCAAGTTTAACGTTTTGCCGACGTCATTGCAAATTAACATAGAAGTTTACGTTGGTTCTGCAAATAGCAAAGAATTTATTATCGTTCTTGACAAATTTTGCTTGCCTACCTGTAGGTGTAATCATTAATTAATTGTGTCTATCTCTAGTGATCTAATGCGTCCTGTTAGAATTTCTTTTTAGTTTTGTCTTCTTTTTGATGACGAAATATGTTTATAGTAGGTGTGTGTAAAGGAGAGAGAGAAAGAGAGAGAAGGCATATCGAGTTATTAAGTCTAATCAAAGAGTAATCTTTTCGTTTTTCTTCGTTTCCTATACATTCAATATCGTATATGTCCAAGATATTGGATTTTAGAAACGCACTTTAAACTAATATACAACGAGCATAACCAAACATTTTCAATAAAGTTAAAAAAGAAAATATTTTTTTTTTTTTTCGTATGTTGAACAGAGATGGACTAAGCCAATAGATTTGTGGCTTATATGTCCAAAAAAAAAAAAAATAAAAGCCACAATATTTATTCATTTATTTATATGCTTTATTCACTACTACTGTTGCTACTTTTTGTTGTCGAATTGCCAAATTCTTTGATGTATAGAATTTCAACAGATGTTTTTTATTGATTAGCAGAGAATTTACCGACGGCTTTGCAATTAAAATAGAAGTTTACGTTGGTTCTGCACATTAACATAAACGTTTACGTTGGTTCTGCAAATTGGCATAGAAGTTTACGTTGGTTCTGCAAATAGCAGAGAATTTAACTACTGCTTTGCCTTTTTAATAGAGAATTGCTTTGTTTAATTTGATAATAAAAATGATGGCGGTGTACCTTTAAGCTAACTTGTAAAATTAACATTAAACCTACCATACGCGATCAAAAGACCGTTTTTAAAATTTTGTAAAGCCGATAGCCTTAGATGCTAGTGCTTTTAAGAGTTTAGTCTTAGAAGTTATTTCTCTGGCGAAATTAATAATAATAATAATAATAATAATAATAATAAAATTTTGTATAAAATTTCTCGCATACAACGTTACTGTATCATCATTTAGTTTATTGATTTTCCCTAAAATATACATACAACTTATTTTTCAATATTTACAACTTTTTTTATTGTTTATTTTCCGAAAACAAATTGTATCATGTCTAGTCTACCACGAATGGTCATTTGACCGTTTGAAAAATTTATGTTATTTACGTCTATATTCTTCGATAATCGCATTCTTGAAATTGTTTCGTTTTCGTTCCTGTCGTCAAAGATAGGCACAAAGGTCGTCATAACGAATTCAAAAGAATTCATTTACATGGAACCCATAAGCAGATATAAGAAGCTAATGTTTTCGTTCAGGTGAAATGTTGAAGTCATCTGGATGATAAAAATTTACCATTTGCTACTAGAAGCGCCGAATTTTGCTTGGAATTCCTTCGACAGTTGACTGTCGGTCATGTTAAGGAAAATATTATTTTTTCAGCGTTTTCTTTACAAAATTTTTTGGGGTTACCTTCCACCAATGCTGAGAGAGATCATATAATGCTACGGTTAAATAGCCACGGTTTTAAAATTCACTTTCAGTAGTCGCGAAACATTTCAGCACAGCGGAGATATATAAAAGTAGCGAAATAGTCAAAATTGCTACTAAAATATGTGTGCAGCTGGATCAAACTCCTAAACTCGATTATGCAAACCTCACCAAAACTCACTTTAACCCAGAAGCAAAAGAAATGGATTTCAACGAAAGGAAGGTACAGCTGAAGGCAGCAGCTGCTTCTAGTGTAAAATGCCTGCCCAACTTATAGCTTCCGTTTTCTACGTGATGTGGGATAAAAGAAAATTTTATTTGCTGGAATTTCATTAAAAATTCCAGCGCTTAAAGGTCTTTACAAACGAAGTTCGTTTTTAAACCGCGAACGTATTAGATTTTGCAATGTTTTTTGATACAGTTTATAATTATAATTTTATAAAATTTCTTAAAATAGGAAAAAACTTTTTGCAACTTATACCGTTAAATCAGTGAATCAACGTTTATACTAATCGTTCTTTATATACTAAAGCTTGCTACTTTGAGATGTTTATAATGTTTATAATAACAGCTGCTAAGTAACCTGCAAAAATATCGCTGCTTGTCTTATTTTGCACATAAAAATAACTGTAATTCTGCTTAAAGCATAGAGTTAATTGATTCAAGCTAAATATTTGTATTGGAATTGGAAAGCGATGGGCTTATTTGCTTTTATGAAGAGTCGTCCAATATTTTGGTTAAGTGTAACCGGCACAGCTGTGGGCATAGCTTGCGTCGTCAAGTATAAAGGATAAAAAGTTTAATAGAAAAATAGATTTCACCTTTTTTTTCTATTTATCATAGGGACCTAATGCAAGGCGGCAAATTTGATAAACCAAACCGTGCTGACGGTAAAGTCATCATCGTTACGGGTTCAAACACAGGAATAGGCAAAGAAACGGTTCGAGAACTAGCCAAACGGGGAGCAAAAGTTTATATGGCATGTCGAGACATGAAAAAATGCGAAGAGGTATGCATTTAAGAAAAGTTAACAAGATTAGACTAAAATAGACTCAGTTTTTAGGCACGCCAAGAGATTGTTTTAGAAACTCGCAATAAAAATGTTTATTGTCGTAAATGCGATTTAGCTTCTATGGATTCTATACATAAATTTGTAGACGAGTAATTACAATCACACATTAGTGCAAATATGATGCAAATTTTATTTTAATCAATTTCAGATTCAAAAAAGAACAGTCACATTTAGATATTTTAATTAACAATGCCGGCGTTATGCGTTGTCCGAGGTCGATAACGACGGATGGCTTTGAGATGCAACTGGGGGTGAATCATCTTGGGCATTTTCTTTTGACAAATCTTTTATTGGATTCGCTGAAGGTTCTATCATATGGCTTTTTTATAATTCTTGTAAAAAATTGAAACTTTCTAATAGAAGTCCGCTCCAAGCCGTATTGTAGTAGTTTCCAGCCTAGCTCATACTCGAGGAGAAATTAACGTAGCGGACTTAAATAGCGAGAAATCTTACGATGAAGGCAAAGCTTACAATCAAAGCAAACTGGCTAATGTGTTATTTACGAGGGAATTGGCAAAGCGATTGCAAGGTGTGAATTTTTTAAAATTAAATGATTTCAATGCAACTTCATTTATTCATTTATTTTGCATTAGGGACTGGGGTCACTGTTAACGCGTTACATCCTGGTGTTGTTGACACTGAACTGTTTCGTCATATGAGCTTCTTTAATTCATTCTTCGCTTCTTTGATATTTCGACCTTTAGTCTGGCCGTTTTTGAAGACTCCAAAATTTGGCGCTCAAACCACTTTGTACGCTGCCTTAGATGAAGACTTACACAACGTTTCGGGGCAATACTTTAGTGACTGTAGCCTTAAAGATGTTGCGCCAGCTGCTAAAGACGATGCGTTGGCCAAATGGCTATGGGCAGTAAGTGAAAAATGGACTAAGCTGAAATAGTGTAGAAATAAAAAAAATGTTTAAATAAAGGAAGTAGGATGTAAGGAACATTTTTTTATTTGGTTGTCAAAAAAAACGCACCGACAAAAGCTTTAAGCACTGTCAGTGGAGATATTTCCCTTAACTTTTTATTCAACTGCCAAAAAAGCACCTGTTAAGTAAAGTAAGAAAAAATCGCTTGGAAAAATAAATTAAAACCGATTATGATAAGTTGCAAAGTGTTTCGCACTTCTCAACATTATAATATCCTTTGCATTTTTAATAATAATTTTGACTGTTCACATGTCGCAATTTTTTTTTTTTTTTTTTATGTTTAAATGAATGAATGAAGCCTATAAAAAGAAAAGGTCACTGTAGGCGATTTTTATTATAAGATTTGTTGATTCTTTGCTCTGATTTCTTTGATTTTATTTATCTTATTGGTTGTTTCATTTATATTTGTAAACTCCAAGATTTTGAACTCTTCTGATTTTTACATAATATCGTATTTAACCAAACCTAGCTGTCACCGCGCCCAAGAAATCACATTAAAAAGTTTTATCATCTCGATTAAAACTAATTGTTGGCGTTAATAACTTCATGCAGACTTTGGCGCACTGATACGCCCACTCTATGCTAATTACAGAAAGAACGTAATACTCTATGCTAATTACAGAAAGAACGTAATACTCTATCCTAATTACAGAAAGAACGTAATATTCTTTGCTAGTTACAGAAAGAACGTAATACTCTATGCTAATTACAGAAAGAACGTAATACGCTATGTTAATTGCAAAGACACCGGCAATTTGATTTTCGAAATTGTACTTAACAGCGGTTGTAGATACGTGAACTAAAAAAAAAAAGGACGAAAAAGCTGAATATTAAGTTACACTTTTTCTTAAGATACTTTTAGGCAGCTGATGTTTACAAAAAATTACTATATCTATTTCACCTTTAAAATAAAACTTCGCTTCAATGAAATAACTGTGGCGTTGTGTATCCAGTTTCATTTTTCATACTCAAACAATTTTTATGTGTCTAATACGTCCCAGTGTGCCAATGAACAAAGTCCTCGCTAAACTCCCTGTTGAAAGGCAAAGCACAGAGTCGCTTATAATATATATAAATGGTTGAGTGCCCAACTAACAACTTAAATGTTAACGCTAATCAGCTATGTTAAACGCGCGACTTAACAGTCCAGAGGGATTCAATTCTGTAAAATAACATTATCTAACGGACCAACTCTGTAAAATAACATTATCTAACGGACCAACTTAACAAAAGCCGTCGGCCATAAGCTAATTTTATAACATTTTCATTTCCAAACAATGTTCTTAAGATAAAAAACTGAATGAAATTAAAAAAAAAACGTCCTGTAAATGTTCGATGCTCAAAAGAAGAAATTGCAATTATCAACTTCTCAATTTCACATTTTACAAACAGTTTTAAGTTGATTTTGCGAACTTTTTTAATTTCGCAAATTTGTATAGCATTTAAATTCCATGCCCTGGCCTCATCCAATAGAATCAAACAATTGTATTAGTGAGCCGTTTGTTTTTTAAATACTCACATTTTTTACTCAAAATACATTTATTTATTTAGACTAAAATATTCCAAAGCATTTCAATTGATTTAAGACCTCATCGATTGTGAATTTGTATGTTTCAAATAATTGATGATATGTAAACCCCAACGATAAATAAAATCGTCATATTGTCATCTCAATCATTTTTATGAGATTTGTTGTTGTAGTTACCATTAGTTAGTTGATTCGTTTTGTGGCTTTTTCTCGTTATATTACCTTAGTAGAAGGCAAATAAAAGAATAATAAATATTTAATAGAAAATATTATTGCAATTAATAAAAGGAATTCTTTTAATTATCTAAAAGAATACACGTATTACGTATAATATAAGAAAATTTAGTTAACCACGTCTCAAATTTCTAATTTTTTTTTTCTTTTGATAAATCGTTTATTACAACGTACAAATATATGACTGTGTCTGTGTTAACACCTTTCTATTAAAGTGCGCTCCAAACTAAATAACAACAACAATAACAATTTAAAAATCGTACATAGTCGCTCCTTATGCTCTCAGTGGCCTTATGAATAATTAATCGCTTGTAAAAGAAAAAAAAAAAAAGAGTGTAGAAATTTTTTAAATATTTAAGCCCCACACAAATGAAAATATGTAAGAAAGAAAAAAGATAAAATATATTAATAATTAAAAAAAAGTAAAATAATGTTGTATGAAAAATAAAATCAATTGATCGTTGCATTGATTGATCAAAATCCCCAACGCGAGGATCTATATCGTGTGTGTGTTTTTAAGAAGGAGTATAAACGTCTTACCCTCTTTACCTAAGTGCTATTAGGTGAAAAGTTTCTTTAATAATACAAGGTATGAAGGCATGAGTATGCTTTTTTTTATGTGAATTTTTGTAAAATGTGTCTTGTTTTTCTTACATTTCGTTGCCAGTTTGTTCTTATTTGGTTTCTTTATTACTGTTATTATTATTATTAATTTTCCTTTTGTTTGTGTCGCATACTTTACCTTGTGTTTTTTTGGTCAGACTACAACAACAATAATCATTACAGTAAAACTAAGTTCTTAATTCGTTTGTCAGCTCTTTAGACTTTTGTCTCTTACTTACCTTTTAATTTAATTTGCTTTAATTTTCTGTCGTTGCTTTTGACTTTTCTGTGCCTTTCTCTCTCTCTCTCTCGCTCTCTCACTCAACTTTTCGTTTTATCTAGTCTCTATCTTGGCTAAAATTCTATAAATTTTCTTTTTTTTTTTTGTTTTATTATTCATTTGATTACCTGTAATAGTAGAGTGAAAGCCACCTTTCGATAGCATGTTACATTAAGTCACAAACTCAGTAACTTAAAGGACCAGAAGTTTTCGTACAATTTGAAATAAAAAGGCTTTTCGCAATTTCTTCTTAATTCCTTATAGCTTTAGCATGTTAGGCGTCAAATAGATTAAATCATCGCTTATTTTGGGTTTTGTCTTTACTAGCAGACAATGCAAGATATATTCGCACATTCTTTGGCCTATTTCTTGAAATATTACGCGTAAGTATGTTGAAGTTACGCACGGAGAGTACAAACATTGACCATCTGCTTAGCACTATCATAAATATCAATATGTACATAAGCAATTAGACATTATTCCGAAAACTAATTGGCTTAAAATAATGTCAATAAATTTATTATTGGCGAATATGATAGTTGCAAAGCTGTCTGTCAGCGTATATCCTGGCATTCCGTACCACAAGAGAAGCAATAAATCGCTTTTGGAAAATGTCACAGTTGGAATATTGAATAAGAGTCTTCGCCAACGGGTCAAGAGAGTTTATAGAAGATTTCAAGGGTTAATAGTAAATACACGCAATCACATTCCATACGTCCAAGTCCCCTGTATGCTAAGTGTTTATTATTATACTTAAGGGATCGTGTTTTTTATATGATGTATACATGGGGTGAAATTGAAAATTTGATCTATGGAACTGATTTAAAACTATATCCCTCAAGTGTCTTTATCTATCTTTTCTCAATTTTTGCTAACCAGTGAATTTCAATTATGATCGAGAGCGGAGCAGTTGGAAAGAAGGGTCAGAGGGAGATAAAAAAATGTTTTGAGCATAAAACTGACAGTATCTCATAAAATGTTATAAATAAATTAATAAAAAAGCAAAACAAACATAGACGATTACATAAAATTTTTCTCGGAATATTTCGAATATCTAGCATCTAATCGAAATTTTGATAAAATTAATACTTGTGTGCTTGTAGATAGACGATAAAACGGAAATAAAAGAGAACTGAGGAAGAAAGAATTTCCACGGTATGCACCCTTTTTATGTACGCGACCTGTACGCAAAGTTTTTTTTGTTTAACGTTTCTGACACGAAATTATAAGTTTGCGACCGTGTTCTTTGGATGACACGGTTTTTTAGAGTCTAGCCTTGAATTATGGTAAAATACGTGTGCGCTTCTAAACTGTCGCAAATTTTTATCTAAATTTGGATGCGACTATTCTCCTCGCGTAAGCGTGATGACTCTAAAGCGATAAGGCGTAGAAGCGAAACTGTCCCTGAAAATTTTTTGTAGAACTTGAATTTAGCGGCAATGAGCTCTTTCTCGGAATTGGGCGACCATTTTGGGCATTGTAATAAGCTGCCAAATTTGAGTTTCTCGGACATTAAGCGTCTTTGTCTCCACCTAATGATAATCTGAGAAACTTTTCTCGTCGTGGCGATATTTTATTGTTTCTCCGCGACAATGTGCATTGATATCAAAGTAAGAATGCCCGGCCGATAGCTTAGGACCTGAAGAATATTTGGGGGATCGAAAAGTCTATTTGTAAACGTTACAAATGAGAGAATGAGATTTATGTAGTCTCTTATCGTGTGTAACGACAAATTTCCCGCGCATTCTCAAGATTCCTCTGCTCTGGTTGCAAATGTTGCTTTTCAATTAAACCGATACATTGACGTAGAAAGCTTACTACAATATTTTGGACTACATATTTCCATGCAAGCTTATGTATATTTTGTATGTATTTACATATTTATGGACGTAAGAGTGTGTGCATTGTTTTTATCTTTCTCTTTATTATTATTAATCTACTTTCACATTCCGATATATATGCGATAGTGAGCGAAGCGGTGGAAAATATTATAGAAGATATGCGGCAACAGCTGATTTCTTTCGTTCTCTTAGCCCTGCTTTGGGCGCAAACTCAGTTCTTTTTTTTTATTTTTTTTATTTTTACATGAAACAAATATAAACTTTTCTGAAATTGTGTTTTCTTACAAGCAGGATAAATTTCAGTTACCATTGAACTTCCGTTTCCTTCTGAAGAGTATTTTGCAAACGCACGACAAGTAAATTGAAAGTTTAACGGTTTAACGGTTTAACGGTTAAAAAAAATTAGCGACAAGCAGTAGCGTGTTATGGTGAATTGTTAAATTTTTATCTGCATAAAGTCAATACACAGATCGAAAAAGCTGAGCAAAGAGGAAAAATAAATAAATAACTTGCGGTGTTAACCAATCGACTTCGATAGTAGTGATCGTACAAAAGATCGGGAACATTTACAATATTTCAACATATCAAAATGGAAACGTTTTGTTTTTATTCTAATAATATTGCATAATTTTTTTTTTATAATTTTATTTTATTTTTTTTTCTTTTTTGTTACGTTTTATTTACCCTATTATCTGTTTTCTCTTTATTTCACAGATAATTGAACAAAAACATCGCTTCTCTAAACTGCCTTAATAAACGTTGCTAATAAATTTTAGAATACATATATATATAAACATAATCAAAACGATCAGAGCTTCCCTTCCATTATAAGAGAAATTATATTAACTAAATATTTATAAAAGCATATTTGTGATATTAATTTTTGTTATATAAGAGAAAAGTTAGAATATAATCTTAAACGCATTTAAAATGGAATCTTTGGAATACGAAATGGCGCGCAATATGACTTTGCTTTTCTTTTTGGAACGTCTACTAGATAAAGGTGAGCCGCGTACCGTTCACGATTTATCCTGTCAATTTGGCAATAAAGAATTCACGAAAGAAATGCGTCAAATAGCCGGAGGTTCGCAATCGGGTAAGCAAATTTAATTCATATTTTCTTTGCTTTTTCACATTTTACCAAATCTGCTTTTGTCCCTGGCTATCTAACAGATTCAATACGATTTTGAATTTTTACCGGCAGCCTATGGCACAAGCACAGCTCACTTACATCGTAAGGAATGTACTGTGCAATTGTTATTGCGGACATAGGCAAGCATTCGAAAAAATTGCATTACACCGCATCTCGTTATCTAATGTCAACGTGAGAGCAATCCTTGAGGATTCTTTTCTTTAATTTGCTTAATAATTGTTTAACTGATTACGTTGTGGTTTAGTGTGCTGTTAACTACAACAGCTCTCTTTCAAATCTAACTCATGCAAAGTCATTGCATTATTCTAACTCGTTTAGGCTTTTATTCTATCCATCTGACTATTGCGAGAATACTCGAGGAAGCTTAAAAAAATTGTACACAATTACTTGTTAGCGATTTATATACTAAAAGCACCCGAGAATTTTCTGATATATGTTCGCAATATGGAAGGCTTCTTCCTCTTGATCTATTCTCTACTCGTAACTGAACTTGTTAGCTGTATAAAAAAGTAGTAGGTACACCGACTACAAGTCTGCGGTTTCGAGAATAGCTCGAACCCACAGTTATACAGATAAACATAAGACAGATGGACAGACATACTTTAAAGGAGAGTCAATCTCAAGTTTTTGCAAGCAGTGCGAGAAAAGCTAATGCCGACAGGTATAGTACCTTTTTAGAACAGTACACTTATTCAGATTATTTGCACATTATGATTTTACATTGCCCTGATAAATATTCAAGTAAAATGTGTGATAATATATTGCAATGGAATCAAACTGGTCTCCTTACCAGGTATTGTACTACAACTCTAATATTCCCGAGAAGAACAAAATTTTTGTAGCTAAAACTCAATCGATTGTAGACATCATGACGACCATTAGGAAACAACGCTCCGTTGTTACGCGTCAATAAAGTAGAATCAAAATCAACGTACAAGACGAGGAGGTTCTCTGCAAAACAGTAATTCTTCCAATGCATGGTTTCAAATAAAAAGCAAATCATTGCCATTTTTTAAGAAATATTTGGAAAAAAGAAATATATGGACCGTTTTTGAAAGTGGGGCCAATCTGGGGGATATTTAAAGTTTTGCGTTTCAATTAATTTAAAAGTATAGGTAAAAGTTAATAAACTTATTTTTTGTATTTTGTGATTTTACATAAAGTAAGTTTATTAACCAATAGCGTCTACTATGACGGCTAAAGCAAATAAATGTTTTTTTTATGCTTAAATTCACTTGACTCACTTTCAAAATTATTGAATTATTCGCTAATTAAATGCTAATTAAAGGGTTGACATGTCAGTTGTATCAAATTTTTTTTTTTTAATAATAAACACAAAGTACTGCTCATGTTTACATGAATTTTCATTCGTTTGATAAGAAGTAAAAACACGCTAGTGGGACGCTAAATACCCTACACCACTTCGCTTAATGCAGTTATTCAAATAACGAGTTTTTCAATTATGGTGTTATATGGACAGTAGTCGAAAAAGTGATCCAATCCGAATCCAATAGCGTTCGTCTTTGTACCAAAACATGCGAGTGTAGCAAATTTTGTTAAAGGTTCTCAAGAAAACACAAAAAATATAAGACAAGCTGAGGATTAGCTCAGAAAATGATTCCGAATCGATTGGTGTACTAAAAGTTGAGACTATATCTGGGTTTTGCATAGATTCGCACAAACTTAGTGTACCCTTGTACCACAAGTAGTGTAAGGTACAAATATATTATACTAATCATGAGAGATAGACATGAAATCGGTTTTCTGAATTCTGGCATTTCCACCATAGCAAGGCCGCGATTGTTTGATAAAAATGAACATCCTTACTGAATTTGTGATCAATGTGAGTCAACGTGCATCCCAACTATTTAAGAACGTGAATTTTTTACATTTCAAAAGGTCATATTAAGTTTCATCTACACTTAGCGTTATCTTCATCTTTTTACAAAAATCGACTTACTTCACTTTCAATATGAACGGCTCGTATGTTTATACACTTATGTACTCGTATTTGAAAACCGTTATATTGTGAAAGGTAATATGCTTCTGTTAAGGTTTATGCATTTAAACTAAATGCATTCATAGTGTATCAGTGACGGCGTCAAGTAAAACATGTCATCATCAGGCAGGTGTAACATGTCATTGGCTTTCCGTGCTGCATTATTCTCACAAAAGTCATTAACATCTATATAACCGATGAAAAAAAAACAAAAAACCAAACAATAGCAACAAATAGCAAATCAACATATTTGATCTTGTTTGTTAAACATTATATATTTGTATATGTATATGCGATATATAATATATATATACAATAAATTTATATATATATATCTACACATATGTATATATATATATATATACGAAATATAAACAATTGAGACATTGTTATATGACGACTGGTTTTTGTATTGCTGCACGTAGGAGTTCGTATTCGTATTTTGTATATCATATGTTGCATCTTATGCTATTTTTGTTATGTTTCTTCATTTCCGGTTACATTTCTATTATTTCAAAGCATATGAGTTTATTATTAATACGCGTTCTTTTCCTTCCCTTTTTTTTACAAAGTTCGACGCCGAGTTTTCTTGTAAGCAAAAAGAATTTAAAGCCAGCATCGTCGTATTGTAAAACAAAATTTATAGTTAAGCTTAGTTTTTGGTAAATCAAAACGAAAAAGAAACACTACGCTGGGACATCATGGCACATCATCAAATACCCTGTGACGAATTCGTTTAATACAGTTCTTCATTTAATTACTTTCTAAAATGACGTCGCATATGGAAAGTAGTCGAGAAAGTAGTCGGATCCGAACCGTTTTCAGAAGCGTTCATCCTTGAGCCAAAACAGGTCTTGAAAATTACGACCTGTAGGATGAACACAAAAAAAATTATAGGTGGACAGACGGACAGACAAGCTTAGGGCAATTTAAAATGTGACTTTGCATCGATGGTTCTAATAAAACATGAGCCTATGAGTGTTTACCTTATATTAATTATAGAATAGCGAGTTATAGTAAAAAACTTAACTATGCAGAGAATCTTTCTTTAGTTCACATGACGATATTGCGTTATTAGCTCATGCGTAGCAATCATTTATGCTGGTAGGCATACCAATCAACTTTTGTTTGTCTTTTCCAAATACATCAGTCGCTGTATTGAGATCGTGCTCAATTTTTTAAAGAGACAAACTACCATAAATTTTTCAAAATAAAACAAATTTTTTTTTTTTGTTAGTATAGTAAATGAGAATGATTTTGGGCGAGACAAAATGCTAAATGGTCGAAAAGTTGAATTTTCCATATATATATAATCCTTGAGTTTACCAAGTTCAGTTAAGGGAGTTAGTATCTCTGCGAGATAAGCTCGATTCTACCTTTACACTTACATTTTTTATTTACAAAAATTTGATCTTTTCCTGTTTGGAAAGTGAACTTATTCATTCAAGTGCCCGTCATTCGCTCAATAACCTAAATTTTTAAAAAACCGCCTCGTTTTTCTCTCTAATATTTCTCTCTAATATTTTGTACTCGCCAAAGGACAATGAGGATATATTTAATTTGTCAAAAAGTTTGCCATAGTTAGAAGGATGCCGTAGAGACGCACACACATACAAAGTATATTCATTCAATTTCTCAATTGTGTAATACCTGCAGCAAAAATGAAGAGATCGGCTCCAAATTAGCAAAGGCTATTGGAAGTTGTTGCGATTGCAAGATTGCAAATGAGTCAAATCGATCAACAGGCACGCTCGTAGTAGAGAGTAAATTGAGGACACCTCCGTCTTCAAAAGCTAAAAATTAGACATTTTACTTATTACTCATAAACTGCAACAACACACACTTGCAATTCCTATTTTACCACAAAAATCATCGATATAAAAAATTCTCCCATATCCGAATACCTCTTCTTTTTCTTGATTGCTTTCCTAGATTTTAAATTTGCAAAAATTACACTGCTTACCGCGGAGCTTGGGGCTTGGTTCTGGTGTTGCCATTTTTTAATGTTTTTCAAAAGTAATTTTTTTTTTTTTTTTTTTTTGAAGATACCGGAATATACATTTAACGATCTCCTTGAATATTCTTATTCTATTAGCTTTTGCCTCATCCTAAAAAGATAGTCAAAATAATCCTTTTTCAGGCCGTCACAGTGGTTTCCTCTTTCAAACCAATCTACACTAAGCGCATATTAATCTCGACAATTAGGAATCCAAGTTGATTCCCGGGTTGTTGTTGTCGATCTATATCCTCGTGGAAAACTGGAAACTGCCAAAATCAAGTCTCCATTGCTTTATCCCATTTCCGTTATTTTTGATCGACAAGAAATTTTCAATTCAACAAAACTGCGAACTGTTGCCAGTAGTTAGTTGTGTACTTTGAAAAATATGAAACTTTACTATGGATATCATCGATAAATGCTACGATTGTCATATCGTAATACATATCGAACTCTACTTGTGAAAGCTATTTAAAGTTTTTTTTTTTTTTGTAAAATTTTTCTTTTATTAGCATTACGTGTATAACGATTAATTGTTAAATGTGTTTTCCAAAACCGTTTAAAAAGTGTTCAATGCACATTTTGCTATATATTGTCTTCTTAATAAGTAAACTTTACCTACACAACCAGTTTCTACACTTTTTTTGTCCACTTAATTACATTGAAAGGAAAAACAAATAATGCATAAGTTAAACACCCACTCTGCTGTTTTTATAGATAAGTTTCTTTCTTTACATATAAGTGCTATGCAGAGATGTTTCATGACGATGATGTTATACTAATTTTATCCTTGTGCTTGTAACACTAGAGAGTATGCGTGAGCTCAAAACGTACTTCGACGCAATTTAGTTATGGTGCTCTTTTCGTCTCGGGATTCCTACTGAAATGCAGTGAAATTGATAAAATTTTTCGCATATATATGCTTAGTGATTGATTTTATTCATAAGA